AGGAGAGGACACATCCCGGGGCAGGGGTCACAGCCCGGTCCCGGGCAGAGGGGGGCCGGGCCGGGGGTCAGAGCGGGGCCACAGCCTGTGCCGGGACAGGGCATGGGGACAGGGGACAGCCCGGCCTCGGGGGGCGGAGCGGGGCCACAGCCCGGTCCGGGAGGGGCCCGAGCGCAGGGCACGGCCCGAGTCCCGGCGGGGGCGGGGGGACCCGGCCCGCGGAGCGCACGGGAGGGGCGGGGGAGCGGCCCGAGCGGGGACGGCCGCGAGTCCCGGCCCGGTCCTTCCGGTCCCTGTCCCTGTTCCGATCCCATTCCCATTCCCGATCCCATCCCGTACCTGCCGCCGCCTCCCGCGGGCACCGGAACCGAGGATCGGGGAGCGCTTCCGGGGCGGGGGCGGGGACACGGCGGGGGCGGGGACAGGGGCGGGGCCACGGCGGGAGGGGCGGGGCCGGGAACGGGAGCGGGGGAACACGGGATGGGGAGAGGGATGGGAGAGAGAGGGAGGGGGACACGGGAAGAGGACATGGCATGGGAACAGGGATGGGTAAAGGGATGGGGAGAGGGGATGGGAGAGGGGATGGGAGAGAGGGGGTGGGGAACACGGGAAGAGGACATGGGATGGGGAGGGGACAGACGGTGGGGACAGGGAATGAGGAGAGAGTATAAGGGACACGGGATGGGGATATGGGCAGGGACACGGGATGGGATGGGGGGAGAGGGGATGGGGATACAGGATGGGGACACGGGTAAGGGAGAGGGAATGGGGGACACGGGATAGGGACATGGGTTAGAGATACGGGATAGGGAGAGGGATGGGGACACGGGATGGGATGGGATGGAATGGAATGGGATGGAATGGGATGGGATGGGATGGGGGGAGAAGGGAGGGGAACACGAGATGAGGATATGGGATAGGGAGAGGGATGAGGACATGGGATAAGAACAGGGAATGGGGAGAGGGGATGGGAACAGGGATGAGGACAGGGGATGGGGACTTAGATGTCCAGCCCCACAGTCCCCGTGTCCCCAACACCCCCAGGCTCTGTCCCTGTGTCCCCACACTCCCACAGTTTGTCCATGTGTCCCCACACCCCCAGGGTCTGTCCCCTGCTCATCCTCCCCCCCCCTCCCGGCACATCCCACAGGCAGCTCCGGCTGCTCCTGGATCCACTTCCATGGCATTTTTGGGATGAGGGGTGTGGTGGGACCTGCTGCTGCTGCGGGACAGCGGGGGCACCACGGGATCCTCCGGGGATCCATGGACTGGCTGCTGATTGGCTGGGATTTACACACCAGGGAGTTGATTGGCTGTGATCTGTGCACCTGTGTGTTGATTGGCTGGCATCTATGGCTGTGTGTGTTGATTGGCTGTGATCACCTGTTTTCTGATTGGCTGGGATCTGTGTACCTGCCTGCTCATTGGCTGGGATCTCTGCCCCTGGCTGCTGATTGGCTGGGCTCCATGTACCCCGCTGCTGACTGGCTGGCTGCCATGTACTCGACCGTTCATTGGCTGAACTGTTGGGACCTGCCCACAGGTGTGTGCTGATTGGCTGGACTGCAGCTGTGCTGATTGGCTGGGTGGTCTGTGAGCACTGATTGGCTGCTGGGCCGGATGAGCTGACTGGGCAGGCCGTCCGTGAGCGCTGATTGGCCGGGCGGTTCCCGAACACTGATTGGCTGGGCAGTCCATGGTGGGCGGGGCTGGTCGTGGCTGCCCATGATTGACAGGCAGGTCAGTTCGTGCTCAGGACACCAGGGCAGGTTTTTGGGGGGCTCGGAGGGGGCTCCTCCCCAACCCCTTCCCACCCGTGAGGGCAGACCTGGTTCTCTCCCCCCCGTGCCTGGAGCCCCCCCGGCACTCACAGGGGAGTCCCCTCTCCCCTTGGGACAGAGGGTACCAGGTGACCCTCCTGGCAGCCCAGAACCCCCCCTGCACCCCCCCCGGTCCCAATAAGTGTCTGACCCCCGGGGATGGTCTGGGTGCTGAGCCCCCCAAGGGTCCCTGCCCTGGCATCCCACCCATGGCACGGGGGTGTCTGTGCCCCCCGGGGGTCCCCCTTCTCTCCTTCCCGGAGGGCAGGACCCTGCTCTGCCCTGGGTGGTTCTGGCTCCCTTCCCAGAGCTCCCACTCCCTATTCCTGGGGGTCCCACTCTCTTCTCGGGGGTCCTGCTCTCTGCCCAGGGGGTTCATGCTCCCTTTGGAGGGCTCCCCATCCCCTTTCCATGGGGTCCTCACTCTGTCCTCGGGGGTCTCCCCTCCCTTTCTGAGGGTCCCTTCAGGGACCACCCAGTTCCCACGGGGTCCTTACTCTGTCCTTGGAGGTCCCTGCTCCCTTCCCAGGACTGCCATTCTCTATTCCTGGGAGTCCTGCTCCCTGCCAGGGGAATGTGTGCTCCCTTCAGGAGCATCCCCCTGCCTCCTCGGGGGTCTCAGTCTCTATTCCAGGGGGTCCCACTGTGCCCAGGGGATCCGTGCTCTCTTCGGGAGCTCTCCACTCCCTTCCCGGGGCTCCCAGTCTTCATTCCCAGGGGTCCTGCTCCCTGCCTGGGGGATCCATGCTCCCATCAGGAGCATCCCATGCCCTTCACGGGGCTCCCATCCTTTATTCCCTGGGGTCTTGCAGGAAGCGAGCAGGAAGCTTGGGGGATTCACGCTCCCTTCAGGAGCATTTCCCCTCCCTTCCCGGGGGTCCCACTCTCTGTTCCCGGGGTCCTGCTGTGCCCCGGGGGTCCCAATTCTCTTGCCGGGGGGGTCCCCACTCCCAGCCCGTGCGAGCCCCTCTCCCACCGCATCCTCCCGCTCCCCCCGGGGTGTGGCCGCGGGGTGTCCCCGCACCCCCGGGGCTGCGGCGGCGGCGCGGGGCGGTGCCGGTGGCGGTGCCGGTGCCCTCCCCCGCTGCCGGTGGCGGGGGCGGAGCGGCCTCCCCGAGCCCTATAAAGCGGGGCGTCCGCGGCGGTGCCGCAGCGAGGGCGGGGGGGTCACCATGAGCCTGATGCTGGAGACGCTGCTGGGCCCCCCGGGGGGGCTCCGCAAGGAGCCGGGCCGCGCTCCCCGGGGCTCCGTCGCCTCCAGCGGCTTCCACTCGTGGCCGGCGCCGGTGCCGGTGCGGGCGCGGGGCGCGGGGGGCGGCGGCGGCAGCGCGGCCGCGTCCTCCACCGAGAGCCTGGACTCGCTGAACGGCGAACCGCGGGCGCGCAACGAGAAGGAGCTGCTGCAGGTGCTGAACGACCGCTTCGCCGGCTACATCGAGCGGGTGCGGGCGCTGGAGCAGCAGAACCGGGCGCTGGCGGCCGAGGCGGCGGCGCTGCGGCAGCAGCAGGCGGGGCGCTCGGCCATGGGCGAGCTGTACGCGAGGGAGCTGCGGGACATGCGGGGCACCGTCCTGCGCCTGGGAGCCGAGAAGGGGCAGCTGCGGCTGGAGCGGGCCCGCCTGGCCGAGGACGTGGCGGCGCTGCGGGGGCGGCTGGAGGACGAGGCCCGGCAGCGCGGGGAGCTGGAGGCGGCGGCGCGGGGTCTGGCGCAGCGCTCGGCGCAGGAGGAGCGGGCGCGGGCGCCGCTGGAGGAGCGGGCGCGGGCGCTGCGGGAGGAGGCGGAGATGCTGCGGAGGCAGCACCGCGCCGAGGTGGGAGCGCTGCTGCGGGGGGCGCGCCCGGAGCCCCCCGCCGAGCCCCCCGCCGCGCTGCGCCCCGGGGTGACGGCCGCGCTGCGGGACCTGCGCGCTCAGCTGGAGGGCACGGCCGCCCGCAGCACCCTGCAGGCGGAGGAGTGGTTCCGCGGTGAGTGTGCGGGGAGGGACCCCGCTCCCCCCCCCCCCGGGACGCCCCTCCCCGGGAGGGGGTCAGAGGAAGGGCGTGCCCGGGGGTGCAGGGACCTCCCCTCTCATCCCCGTGTGCTGCGCTCCGGGAGGGGGTGAGGGTGACCGTGCGGGGACCCTCCCATTTCAACTGTGCTCCAGGAGGGTTTTAGGGTGTCCCCACGCCGGGGGAGGGAAAAGGGACCCCCCATTTAAATTGTGCCTTGGGAGGGCGTTAGGGGACCCCCACTCCAGGGAAGACCCCCCCATATATACTGTGCTCCAGGAGGGTGTTGGGGGACCCCCCTCCAGGGAGGTGCAGAGACCCTCTCCATTTATCCTGTGCTCCGGGAGGGCGTTAAGGTGCCTCCACCCCTTATGGCGGGGCAGGGACTCCCCCAGTGAAACTGTGCTTTGGGAGGGTATTATGGGACCCCCACTCCGGGGGGAGGGCAGAAATCCCCCCTATATCCAGTGCTCTGGGGGGGCGTTAGGGTACCTCCACCCCTGCCCCCAGCCCCCCTGTGCCTGTGGGTGCTGTGCCCCCCACTCCCGCCCCGCAGTCCCTTTCAGGAGGGTACCAGGATCAGGGCACCCCGCAAGTTTTTGGGGTGCCCCCCCCGATGCTGCAGGGTGTCCTGCTGGTCCCTGTCGGCTGGGGCGAGGCCAGGGGGGTTTGCAGGGGGGGGGGGGGGGGGGGGGGCGGTACCGCATCCCTAATGCGGGGCGGGGGGAGGGCAGGGAGTGGCCCTTCTGGGGGGAGCTCAGCACCCCGAGCCTCAGCACCTCCGAGCCTCAGCGCCCAGGGGCGAGGGGCGGGTCCAGCACCGCGGACAGCGGCGGTTCAGCACCGCGGGCAGCGGCAGCGCGGACCCGGGGGAGCGGGTCCCGCGGGGCGGGGGCTGCCCCGGGAGCCGCAGGATCTGTGTCCCACCCTTCCTGTCCCCTTTTCCTGTCTCCCCCCTCCTCTCCATCCCTCGGGGTGTCCGCAGGGCGTTGCGGCAAACCACCCCCCCCCCCGCCTGCGGGGTGCGGTGATGCGGTGGGTCGGGGGGGCTGTGGCACAGCCCGAGGGTCTGCACCGGGTGACGCCCAGGATGGCGAAAACACGCACCCAGGCGATCGTGCCCGTCCTCCTCCACCCCCCCCGCACGAGGGAGGTGCCCTCCTTCGGGAGGGTCCTCCTTTACCTGCCAGGGCCGGGGCTGGGAAGGCAGCGAGCCCGGGGAGCCTGGGCCGGCTCTGCAGAGGACACCACGTGGGGATGTGCGGAATGGGGGGTTCTGAGGTTCCCCGAGAACTGCAGCCTCCTTCCCTGCCCCCCTCCATGCCCCCTTTCCCGTCGCAGTGAGGCTGGACAAGCTGTCCGAGGTGGCCAAGGTGAACACGGACGCCATGAGAGTGGCCCAGGAGGAGATCACCGAGTACCGCCGGCAGCTCCAGGCCAAGACCACCGAGCTGGAGGCCCTCAAAGGGACCCAGGAGTCACTGGAGAGGCAGAGGCAGGACTCAGAGGAGCGGCATCACGCTGATGTCCTGTCCTACCAGGTAACCTGGCACGGGGAGGGACCCTCCAGCTGCCAGGACAGAGCAGCGCTGGTGTTCTGGCTTCAGAGACGGCCAGGAGCTCTGGCAAATGCTCAGGGCTGTGTCTGGGCCTTCCCCAGCCCCCAGGGATCAGGTTCCCAGAGCCTGAGGGGGTGTCCAGGCTGTCGTGTCCCTCGTGCACACAACGTTGGTCATAAATGCCACGGAATTGTGTCCAAGGTTCAGGCCACGTCCCGTGTCCCAGCCCTGGGAAGCGAGGGCTGCACTGGGTGGTGGCTTTGGACTGAAACACTGTCCCCAGCGTGATGCCCCGTCCCCATCTGCCTCAGGCTGGGATTTCGTGGTCACTGAACTTGCCCAAGTGGTAGAAACATTCCCACAGCTCGTCCTTGCTGGAGGGACTGCTGGGAGGAGGCTGGGGTCCCCCTGCCGGGTCCCCCAAGGGAACAGAACACCCTGGATGTGTCCCCTTCCCTGTGTGTCTGTGGGAGGAGGTGGCTGCAGACCCCTCTGTGAGGGCCCCTTGGTGCTGGAGACCAGGGGACAGTTTGGGGGTGCTCTGTGTCCCCCTGCTCCTGGGGACTGTCCCCCCACAGCCCATCTCACCCCCCCGTTGCTCTGTCTGCCCCCAGGAAACCATCCAGCAGCTGGACAGCGAGCTGAGGAACACCAAGTGGGAGATGGCAGCTCAGCTCCGGGAATACCAGGATCTGCTCAACGTCAAAATGGCCCTGGACATCGAGATTGCTGCCTACAGGTACGGGGGGGGCAGGGTGAGGGGGGGTCTCAGCCAGGGCTACTCAAGGTCCCCCCCTTCACACCCGGGCTCTTCTTGGTGAGGAGGAGACCATCTGTCCCCTCAGACTGACATCCAGCTGTGTGATCCAGCCCTGGAGTGTGGAGGGAAGGGTGAGGGAACCTGCCCAGCCCAGGGTGTAGGAGCAGGAGGGTGATCCAGGACGGGGCAAGGAGGGAGATGGAGCTGCAGGACAGGGCTGGCAGCTCCCGGTCACGGGAGGGGAGGAGAAGCCATCACTGACTGCCCTACTCTGGTCTCTTCCTGGCAGAAAGCTCTTGGAAGGGGAGGAATATCGGCTCGAGACTGGCATTGGGATGCTCTCCTACCCCGAGGTGGTCCCCAAGGCTCCCAGCATCACCACCAACATCAAGGTGAAGAGCGAGGAGAAGATCAAGGTGGTGGAAAAGTCAGAGAAGGAGACGGTGATTGTGGAGGAGCAGACGGAGGAAATCCAGGTGACCGAGGAGGTCACGGAGGAGGAGGAGGCTGAGAAAGAGGCTGAAGAGGAGAAAGCTGAAGAGGAAGAAGAAGAAGAGGAGCAAGCTGAAGAGGGTGAAGAAGAGGCTAAGTCTCCTGCAAAAGAGGAGGCCAAGTCCCCAGAGAAACCTGAGTCCCCCTCAAAGGAGGAGGCCAAGTCCCCTGAAAAGCCCCCAACCCCCTCCAAGGAGGGGGCCAAGACCCCGGCTGTGAAGTCCCCAGAAAAACCTGCAACCCCCTCCAAGGAGGAGGCCAAGAGCCCAGCTGTGAAGTCACCAGAGAAGGTCAAATCTCCCGGGAAGGAGGAGGCCAAGTCTCCACAGAAGGAGGAGGCCCCGGCCAAGGAGCCAACCCCTGCTCCGAAGGAGCCGAAAGCCCCCGCCAAGGAGGAGCAGCCCAAGGAACAGCCCAAGGCTCCCTCCAAGGAGGAGGGAAAGAAGGAGGAAGCTCCCAAGAAGGACGTCCCAGCCAAGGCAGAGGAGAAACCCAAAGAGAAGGTGGCTGCAGTGCCAGAGCCTCCAGCCCCACAGGTGAAGGAGACCCCCAAGCCAGGCCCCAAACCCGCTGAAGAAGGAAAAGCCGAGAAGGAAACTCCACCAAAACCTCAGCAGGAGGTCGGCAAAGCGGCCGCCAAGGAGGCTGAGAAGCCAAAGGCTGAGGAGAAGGTGGAGGAGCCAAAGAAGAAAGTAGAGGAGCCAAAGAAGGAGAAGGCGGAGGAGCCAAAGAAAGTGGAGGAACCCAAGAAGGAGAAGGTGGAGGAGCCCAAGAAGAAGGTGGAGGAGCCCAAAAAGGCGGAGGAACCCAAGAAAAAGGTGGAGGAACCCAAGAAGGAGAAGGTGGAGGAGCCCAAGAAGGCGGAGGAGCCCAGGAAGGAGAAGGCAGAGGAACCCAAGAAAGCGGAGGAGCCCAAAGCCCAAGCAAAACCCAAAGATGAGCCCAAAGCCAGCAAGGACCCCCCCAAGGCCGAGGCCCCCTCCGGCAAGGAGGGCATGGCCCCAGAGCCGGCTCCCAGCACAGGGAAGAAGTGAGAGGAGAGTCCTGGGTGCCAACGGGCACTGCGGGCACGGGGGCTGCTCTGCCCCCCCCGAGGGCCGGGCCCGGGGTGGGACCCCCAGGCTGGGCTTCCCCTTAGCAATAGGCCCTGTGAGAGCCGCAGGGTGGGCGACGCTTCCCTCGCAGAACGTGATCCCCACATTTAACACTTGAATTATAACCCAGGAGAAGGGGGGAGACCCCCCGGGGACACCCCCAGGGACACCCCTTCTCCTCTAAGTGCATTTATTCAATGTATGTGCAACGGATGGACGAGTGCAATGCAGAGCTGTAGCTGCTTGGGGGGGGCTGGCGGGGTCTGGGGGGAAGGACTGTCCCCTGGAGCAGCGGTGGGAGAGGCTGGGAGCTGCAGGAATGCTCCCAGGCACGGGCTGGGAGCTGCAGGAATTGCTCACAGACACACACACGGGTGCACCAGGAACCTCAGCCCACTGATCTTTGCTTACTGTGCAATAACCAAATAAAAGTGCTTACGGAGACATCTTGGCTCTGCGGGTCTGTCCTGGGGGAGGGAGGGAAAGGAGCAGGAATGGGGGTGGGATCCGTCTTTCCAGAGGGAAAACACACCCTCCAGTGCAGGCACGAAGGACTCCCCATGTCCTGGGGATGGAAACAGGGCCAGCCCCCCCACGCTTTCCAAAGGATTTCAGTGTGTTTTGTCCCTTCTCTTTTTAAAGCCTGGCTCCCGAGGGACTGGGAAAGCCTGGATTAACCCCAGGGCTGCAGCACTGCACCGAGGGCAGGGGCTGTGGGGCAGCAGCAGAGGGGTTGTCAGCCCTCCTGGGGGGTAAATCTCTCTGTGGAGAGGGGGGCAGGAGCCCCCGGGAGCGGGGCTGGAGCCCTGGCTGTGCCAGCCTGGATGTGGGACAGGACCCACCCGGGGCGAGGAGGGGGCACAGCCCAACTCCTGGTGCCAACCAGGGTGAGCTGGGGGGCTGGGATGGCCCGACCCTCCTCCTGCCTCTCCCAGGAGCCCGCCCTGCTCCCCTCCAAGCCCCCCCCAGCTGCAGGGATGGTGCCGGGTGGGCTGGAGCCAGCACTGGCAAGGACAGGCTGGGGCTGCAGTGCGGGCTCCGCACAAGGGCTATTTTTAGCCATCTCAGTTCCAGCCACCTCAGCTCCCCGAGGTGGGGAGGGAGGGCAGGAGACAGGCAGCATCCCAGGAAAAGCTGTCAGAGCCCGGGGATGGGACACAGGCCTTGCTGGAGCCCCCCCCAGTCCCTCCCTGTCAGCCCTCCACACACACGGGACACACACACGCTTCTCCTTCGGTTCAGTTTATTCCCTTTGGCTACAAAACCAACCCCAAAATCTTGGAAAAGGAGCTGAAATGGTGGGATGGGGACACTCCTCCTGCAGAAGGGAAGAGGCCCATCCCAGAGAGATGCCCGGGGAGGGCTCAGCGATGGCTGAAGAACCCCTGGGGGTAGTTGAACTTGAAGGGCTTCAGGCGCAGGGGACCCCTGGAAGGGGAGAAGAGGGATCAGGAACCACCCTGGCACCCACTCCCGGGGCAGTCCCACACAGGACAGGCTGCAGGGCTGGCACCAGGGCACAGCAGTGCCACCAGGGTCCCTCCAGCACCCTCCCCCGGGGCTCTCACCTGACCAGGCGCAGACACATCTTCTCCTGGGGGAATTCCTTGGGCCCCTCCACGCTGGGATCGTGGGGCTCTGTCTCCAGGTACACGTCCAGCACCATGCACAGGCGCTGCAGCTGGTTGGTGAGCAGCTGGTAGCCCGGTTTGGGCCCCCACAGCTCCTTGTAGTGCACGTTGACCTCGCTCTCCATGGCCTGGGAAGCAGGGATGAGCTTGGCACGGGCCTGGATCTCTGCTCCGCGCTCCCAGACCCCGCTGCTGCACCCCAGTGCCCACCCAGCAGCTCAGCCCAACACCTGCCCTGTTCTGGGCACAGAACCGCTGGGGACACCCCAAAACAGGGCCCCTCTGCCCCCCCCCTTACCCGAATGTTGTCGTCGTTGCTGCTGTTCCGCTCCCCCTTCCAGTTCAGGCACAGGCTGAAGACGGGCGGGAGGGTGGAATACCCGGGATTCAGGACCACGGCGGCCTGGAGCTTGGCTGGGCAGGGAACAGGGGTCACCACCAGGAAGGGGAAGGGGGAGGAACCCAAGGAGAAGGTGGAGGAGCCCAAAAAGGTGGAAGAGCCCCAGAAACAGAAGGTGGAGGAGCCCAAGGAGGAGAAAAAAGGTGGAGGAACCCAAGGAGGAGAAGGTGAAGGAACCCAAGAGGGAGAAGGTGAAGGAGCCCAAGAAACAGAGGGAAGAGGAGCCCAAAAAGGTGGAGGAGCCCAAGGAGAAGGAACTCAAGGAGAAGGAGCCCAAGAGGGAGAAGGTGAAGGAGCCTAAGAAGGTGGAGGAACCCAAAGCTCAAGCAAACCCCAAAGATGAGCCCAAAGCCAGTCAGGACCCCCTCAGGGCCAAGGTCCCCTCCGAAGAGGGCACAGCCCCGGAGCTGCCCCGGGGCAGAGGGGAGTGCAGAGCCCCAGGGCCTCCAACCAGGGGCATTTCCCACACAGACCCCCAGCAGCCACCCTGGGGGTGTGTCTGGCTTGGGAAGTGGGAATTCCCAGGGGCAGGAAAGGCTCTCACCCGTTCCTCTCTCTATCAGGGCCATGTAGTAGAGGTGAGTGTCCTCAGCCAGGCCGGCCTCGATCACGTCCTTGGTGTAGGGCAGCTCCTGGGGGCAGCCAAGGAGCAATGAGCTGGGGCCAGGTGGGAGCTGGGAGGGGCTGGAAAGGGGTTGGGAGGGGCTGGAAAGGGACTGAGAGGTGGTGGAAGGGGCTGGAAAGGGGTTGGGAGGGTGTGGAAGGGGCTGGAAGTGGCTAGAAAGGGGCTGGGAGGGAGTGGGAGGGGCTGGAAAGGGGCTGGAAGTGGTTGGAAAGGGGCTGGGAGGGACTGGGAGGGGCTGGAAAGAGGCTGGAAAGGGGCTGGGAGGGGTTCGAAAGGGGCTGGGAGGGGCCAGGAGGGGCTGGAAAGGGGCGGGACAGGGCTGAAAGGGGCTGGGAGGGGTTAGGAGAGGGGGGAGGGGGGGATCCAGCCCCACGTGTGGCACCTACAGCGTAGTCCTCGAAGGGAATGGCCGCCCACTTGACCAGGCGGGACACGACCTTGGTGGGGAAGAGCTGCTGGCACTCGCTGGACACCGGCACCACCCCGTGCTCTGGGGACAAGGACAGGGCCAGCTGAGCAGGGCAGGGCTGGGCACAGGCTCTGCCACCCTCCTGGCACTGTCCTGGCACTGTCCTGGCACTGCCCTGCCGGGGGGAAGCCCCAAACCAGGACCTGGGATGTCCTTACCCTGCACACCCCACCCGGGGCTCAGCAGGAGCAGCCGAGGCCTGGGCTGGGGTCCCACTGGATCCCATGATCCCAGTGGATCCCTGGGCTGTGATGTCACTGCATTCTTGGGTTGTGATCCCACTGGATCCCTGGGCCATGATCCCCCTGGATTCCTGGACTGTGATCCCATTGCATTCTTGGTTTGTGATCCCACTGGATCCCTGAGCTGTGATCCCCCTGGATCCCTGGGCCACGATCCCCTGGATCCTGCGATCCCCTTGGATCCCCAGGATCCTGCGATCCCCTTGGATCCCCAGGACATGATCCCCCTGGATCCTGTGATCCCCTTGGATCCCCAGGACATGATCCCCCTGGATCCTGCGATCCCCTTGGATCCCCAGGCTGTGATCCCACTGCATTCTTGGGTTGTGATCCCACTGGATCCCCGAGCCGTGACCCCCCCCTGGATCCCGTGATCCCCTTGCATCCCTGGGCTGTGATCCCACTGGATCTCTGGCTGTGATCCCCCTGGATCCTGGGGCTGCACAACCCCTGACATGTGTCATGTGCAGTTCCCCTCCCACCACAGCCCCAATCCCTTCCCAGCGCTGGGATGGCCATTCCCAAGGGGGTGCTGGGCACTGGGAGGGGCACAGCCTCCCCTTGCCCCCCAGCCCAGGGCAGCTCCCTCCTTCCTGCTGCCCTCCCGGACACAGGGAACGACTGGGAATGCTAAAGGTGACACCAGGCAGCTCTGCCCTGCATGAGGACCCTGCCACTGAACCCCTGTCCCCAGGGATGGGTTGGAATGCCAGCAGGTCCCTGCCACTGCACCTCTGTCCCTAAGGATGGATGGGGAGCCTGGCAGGCCCCTGCCACTGGATCTCTGTCCTCAGGGATGGGTGTGGAGCCCAGCAGGACCCTGCCACTGCACCCTTGTCCCCAGGGATGGGTG